CTCTGTCTCTCTGTGTGTGTCTCTGTCTCTCTCTGTCTCTCTGTGTGTGTCTCTGTCTCTCTGTGTGTGTGTCTCTGTCTCTTTCTGTCTCTCTGTGTGTCTCTCTGTCTCTCTGTGTGTGTCTCTCTCTCGGTCTCTCTGTGTGTGTGTCTGTGTGTCTCTCTGTCTCTCTGTGTCTCTCTCTGTTTCTCTGTGTGTGTCTCTCTCTCTCTGTGTGTCTCTCTGTCTCTCTGTGTGTCTCTCTGTCTCTCTGTGTGTGTGTCTCTCTGTGTGTCTCTCTGTGTCTCTGTGTGTGTGTCTCTGTGTCTCTCTGTGTGTGTCTCTGTGTCTCTCTGTGTGTGTGTCTCTCTGTGTCTCTCTCTGTCTCTCTGTGTGTCTCTCTGTCTCTCTCTGTCTCTCTGTGTGTGTCTCTGTGTCTCTCTGTCTCTCTGTGTGTGTCTCTGTCTCTCTGTGTGTGTGTCTCTGTCTCTTTCTGTCTCTCTGTGTGTCTCTCTGTCTCTCTGTGTGTGTCTCTCTCGGTCTCTCTGTGTGTGTGTCTGTGTGTCTCTCTGTCTCTCTGTGTCTCTCTCTGTCTCTCTGTGTGTGTCTCTCTCTCTGTGTGTCTCTCTGTGTCTCTTTGTGTGTCTCTCTCTGTCTCTCTCTGTATCTCTGTGTGTCTCTCTCTGTCTCTCTGTGTCTCTCTCTGTCTCTCTGTGTGTCCCTCTCTGTCTCTCCGTGTGTCCCTCTCTGTCTCTCCGTGCGTGCCTTTGTCTCTCTGTGTGTCTCTCTCTCGCCAACTTCGCCTGTGCTCAGGCGAAGATGGCTGCGTACAGAACGAGGAAAAATATGCTGGAAGGATGACACTGACGGCTGGCTCTGTGCCTCCAGTGTCCAGGGGGCCTGTGTGGTACCACATCAACGGATCAGCTCTGCCAGCACCACTATCCCCTCTCCCCACCCTCACACGAACGCGTAATTCGGGCGGGTGTGTGGGAGGCACGCGAGAGGCAATTCATGAACGACCACCGCGTCTGCACAGCGGCGCCGCGCGAGTAATAGGGCGAGTTAAGAAGACCCGTTCGCACGCGGTGTCTTCACGTAGCGTACGATAGCACTCAGCGGTGGAACGCACCAATATGATCGTCAACCCGGCCGCCGTGCCCGTGCCCGCGTGCGCAGCGGATGAAAGCCGACCCAACGGGAGGTGGGGAGGGACGCGTGCACATTCACACGGATATTTGTTAGCGCGAGCCGTGGTGTACGTGGGGGGGGCGGTGGGGAGCTAGCCACTGGCCGTGTCCCACAGAAAGGACACTGTTGGCACGGGGAGGCCGTTCACTCGGTCGGCGGCAACCAATCTGCTCAAGACGCGGCTCCGGCTGGAGCACGGCATGTACCACACACATGTCGGTGATGTGCACGTCTTCTTCGAACGCTGGGGAGCCGGACAAGCCCCTCTCTGCACCAGCGTGGACGGCACCCTCGTGGTGTTCACCTTCTGAAGCGCTCGCTCGTCACCGTGGCGTGCACGATGACCACCACCACCACCACAACCACCACCACCACGTGACTTTTCTTTCGTGTTGTGCGCGGCGCATTTAGCGCCACCACAGCGCGTGGATTTACAGCGTTTATACTTAGGTTTTTTCGGTAAAGTCACGTAGGGAAAAATAAAAGTAAAAAATAAAACATAATAGAAATAATAATAAAAATAAAATAATATATAAATAAAATTCTATTTTACTTATATTATTCTTTCTATAATTTTTATTTTTATTTTTACCTACGTCACTTTACCGAAAAAACCTAGGAGTGTATGAATCCTGGCAGTCACGAAAGCTTCAAATCTAGAATTTACACCGTTAGTTTATTTGTGTTTGCTGGTGACTTTGTGTGTTTCGTATCGGAATCGCCTCCAGTGCTGTTGCTGCTGGCGGCAATAAAAGTTGTTTAGAAGCCTCACCTTACCATATGAATAAAAAGTGTGCTGTATTTGGCCCTTTCCCCCCCCCCTCCTCTCCAACCATTATATAAACGGAGTGGTAGCTCCTGCAATCTCTCATTTACTTGATACAGCTGTCGTGGCTGTGACGGTACCACCTGAAGACGGAAGCTTGTGTTGCCTCCGAAACGTCGTGATTTTTATTTTATTTTACTTTTATTAATTTTAATGTTTTACCTACGTGACTTTACCGAAAAAACCTAAGAATATCAAAAGTTTTCGTCTGTCTCTCTCTCTTTGTCTCTCTTCTCAGAAGCGACCCTGGCTGGCCACGCGCGTTAGTGACGGCTCAACGCGGTGGCTTATCGCCACATGGGGAATTGATAGCAGTCAAATGTAAGATTCATATCGGACGGGAAGGAAGCTTCACACCCCCCACCCATCCACCCCGCCCCTCTCCTGTTGAGACATTTTGGGGAAACTCAAATCGCGAATCCGGATGTCCGTTATGTGTTTTCTCTCTCTCGCTGTGTGTGTGTCTCTGTGTGTCACACACACACGCATCGATGTTATACAAGGCCTGGGAACATTTGACGCAATTGCAAAATGACGCGGGCGAGATTATTATCCGCATATGGCTGCCCCAAAGCCCTCTTGCCCCCCCCCCTTCACTCCCCCCCCTTCACTCCCCCTCCCTTCACCCCCCCCTTCACTCCCCCCCCTTCACCCCCCCCCTTCACCCCCCCCCTTCACTCCCCTCCCTTCACCCCCCTCCCTTCACCCCCCTCCCTTCACTCCCCCTCCCTTCACTCCCCCCCCTTCACTCCCCCCCCTTCACCCCCCCCCCTTCACCCCCCCCTTCACCCCCCCCTTCACCCCCCCCCTTCACTCCCCTCCCTTCACCCCCCTCCCTTCACCCCCCTCCCTTCCCTCCCCCCCCTTCACCCCCCTCCCTTCACCCCCCTCCCTTCACCCCCCTCCCTTCACCCCCCTCCCTTCACCCCCCTCCCTTCACTCCCCCCCCTTCACCCCCCTCCCTTCACACCCCCCCTTCACTCCCCCTCCCTTCACTCCCCCCCCCTTCACCCCCCCCTTCACCCCCCCTTCACCCCCCTCTTCACCCCCCCATTCACCCCCCTCTTCACCCCCCCCTTCACTCCCCTCCCTTCACCCCCCTCCCTTCACCCCCCTCCCTTCACCCCCCTCCCTTCACACCCCCCCTTCACTCCCCCTCCCTTCACTCCCCCCCCCTTCACCCCCCCCTTCACCCCCCCTTCACCCCCCTCTTCACCCCCCCATTCACCCCCCTCTTCACCCCCCCCTTCACTCCCCCCCCTTCACCTCCCTCTTCACCCCCCTTCACTCCCCCTCCCTTCACTCCCCCCTGCTGTTAGCGAGTAGCACCTATGAAGGCCGGCACGGGCACACGAGGGGATGGGTGGCCAACACCACGCCCGGCCGCCTTTGTCTCCCCAGGTATTCGAGGCTGAGTCGACCTAAGGGAGGCCCGGGACCGGTTCAGAAAATCGTCACCGGTGGTGTTGGCCGTGAGCGGGAATCGAACCTGGATCGCCAGGTTCATAGCGCAGCGTAGCGCTAACCACTACATTACCGCTGCACACATAGACACACACACACGCACACTGACACACACAACAACAACCGCCATTCGCCACTAAGCGGCGGAGACGTCACCACGACGCTTGTGCCAGGCTATGTGCACGTTGAGGCCACGTGAAGTGTAGAACGCACGCTTGGCAGGAGGAGGTCACGGGGCAGACCCAGCAGGTGCCACGGGTCGACTGACTGAGACGACCGAGATGACTGGCTGATGCACCACCTGTGCCCCCTACTGTGCCAACTTGCTGTGCTTTAGCCACCCGGCGCTCCGCTCGTTGTTGTGAGCGTCGCTCCTCCCCCTTCCGTTGTTGTTGGAGGGCGACTGCCTCCAACTGCCCAGCAGCGTCAGCGTCCTTCACGAGCCAGGCAAAGCCCCACTGAGATGTGTAGCTCGTTTTCAGAAGCGACCTGGCCACGGACGATGGCTCAACGAAGTGACTTCCTGTCACGTGGACCATTTACAACAGCCAAATGCTCTAAACGCGTGATGTTGATTCTAAATGTGGAGGGGAAAACCAGAGGACCCGGAGACAACTCCACGCGATCACGGGCGGAGAGAGAGAGACACGCAATCTCCAAATATACAGCAGGAGTCAGGGTCGGAATCGAACCCACGACCTCCTCCATACCAGGCGAGGAAGTCAACATCTCCTAGCCACCGTGATGATGATGAGAGAGACGCAAACTCCAAATACACAGCAGGCGTCAGGGTCGGGATCGAACCCACAACCTCCTGTACACCAGTCGAGGTAGTTAACATCTCCTAGCCACCGTGATGATGATGAGAGAGAGAGACGCAAATTCCAAATATACAGCAGCAGGCGTCAGGGTCAGGATCGAACCCACGCCCTCCTGTACACCAGTCGAGGTAGTTAACATCTCATAGGCACCGCGATGATCATGAGAGAGAGACGCAAACTCCAAATATACAACAGCAGGTATCGTCAGGGTCGGGATCGAACCCACGACCTCCTGTACACCAGGCGAGGTAGTTAACATCTCACAGCCACCGTGGCACTCTAAGGGCGAATCATGTGCGACGGGATCGCAGCTGCGGTGTGAGCACGTGACAGGCACGGTGGTTTTGAGATGATGACGGTGGTGGTAGTGGTGGTGATGATGGTGGTGCTGATGGTGGTGTTGATGTTGATGGTGGTGTTGATGTTGATGATGGTGGTGCTGATGATGATGGTGGTGCTGATGATGGTGGTGGTGGTGTTGATGATGGTGCTGATGATGGTGGTGGTGGTGGTGTTGATGATGGTGGTGGTGCTGCTGCTGATGGTGGTGCTGATGATGGTGCTGATGATGATGGTGGTGCTGATGATGGTGGTGCTGATGATGGTGGTGCTGATGGTGCTGGTGGTGGTGCTGATGATGGTGGTGCTGATGGTGCTGGTGGTGGTGCTGATGATGGTGGTGCTGGTGGTGCTGCTGGTGGTGCTGATGATGATCCTACCGCTGCCGTATAAATCCACCTCGTCCGAAAATCTCTGCAGTTCAAAGTCTGTATCCAGGCCCACCAGCTGCGTGAGACAAAGACACGCACAGAGACACCGACACAGACTCACAGCGTGAACACGTGGCGGCTGCACACACAGAGACACCGACACCGACACACAGCGTGGATACGTGGTGGATGCACACACAGAGACATCGACACAGACACACACATGGCGTGGATACGTGGTGGATGCACACACAGAGACACCGACACACAGCGTGGATACGTGGCGGCTGCACGCACAGAGACACAGACACAGACACACGGCGTGGATACGTGGTGGATGCACACACAGAGACACAGACACTGACACACAGCGTGGATACGTGGCGGCTGCACACACAGAGACACAGACACACACACACGACGTGGATACGTGGTGGCTGCACACACAGAGACATCGACACAGACACACAGCGTGGATACGTGGCGGCTGCACACACAGAGACACAGACACACAGCGTGGATACGTGGTGGATGCACACACAGAGACACAGACACACAGCGTGGATACGTGGTAGATGCACACACAGAGACACAGACACACTGCGTGGACACGTGGTGGATGCACACACAGAGACACAGACACAGACACACAGCGTGGATACGTGGTGGATGCACACACAGAGACACAGACACAGACACACACGACGTGGATACGTGGTAGATGCACACACAGAGACACAGACACACAGCGTGGATACGTGGTGGATGCACACACAGAGACATCGACACAGACACACAGCGTGGATACGTAGCGGCTGCATACACAGAGACACAGACACACAGCGTGGATACGTGGTGGATGCACACACAGAGACACAGACACACAGCGTGGATACGTGGTGGCTGCACACACAGAGACACAGACACACAGCGTGGATACGTGGTGGATGCACACACAGAGACACAGACACAGACACACAGCGTGGACACGTGGCGGCTGCACACACAGAGACACACACACACGACGTGGATACGTGGTACGTGGTGGATGCACACACAGAGACACAGACACAGACACACAGCGTGGATACGTGGTGGATGCACACACAGAGACACAGACACACGACGTGGATACGTGGTGGATGCACACACAGAGACACAGACACACAGCGTGGACACGTGATGGATGCACACACAGAGACATCGACACAAACACACAGCGTGGACGCGTGGCGGCTGTACACACAGAGACACAGACACACGACGTGGATACGTGGTGGATGCACACACAGAGACACAGACACACAGCGTGGATACGTGGTGGATGCACACACAGAGACATCGACACAAACACACAGCGTGGACGCGTGGCGGCTGTACACACAGAGACACAGACACACAGCGTGGATACGTGGTGGATGCACGCACAGAGACACAGACACACAGCGTGGATACGTGGTGGATGCACACACAGAGACACAGACACACAGCGTGGATACGTGGTGGATGCACGCACAGAGACACAGACACAGCGTGGATACGTGGTGGATGCACAAACAGAGACACAGACACACGGCGTGGATACGTGGCGGCTGCACACACAGAGACACGACACAGCATGGCCACTGATGATGGACAGACGTGCCTTGCTTTAGCTCATCATGATCACACGTGCCCGCGTGTATAGATATATTCGTACCCATCGCGTGGTCGCGATTTCAAAGTTTCACGGGTGGACAAATGAAAAACGAACGAGTTCGTCAAAAAAATTATAAAACCCACCAACGTCGCTTTAAAAAGGGTGGGGTGGGGGGGGCTTCAGCTGCGCGTATATCGTCACGATGAAAAAATAGGCGACGTTTCAAGCAATGGACCTAGCTTCTTGTACTAGTGGTGAGTGTAGTGGTGAGTGTACTAGTGGTGAGTGTACTAGTGGTGAGTGTAGTGGTGAGTGTACTAGTGGTGAGTGTACTAGTGGTGAGTGTAGTGGTGAGTGTACTAGTGGTGAGTGTAGTGGTGAGTGTAGTGGTGAGTGTAGTGGTGAGTGTACTAGTGGTGAGTGTACTAGTGGTGAGTGTAGTGGTGAGTGTACTAGTGGTGAGTGTAGTGGTGAGTGTAGTGGTGAGTGTATACTATGTGTTTGAGTGTAGTGGTGAGTGTACTAGTGGTGAGTGTACTGGTGGTGAGTGTAGTGGTGAGTGTACTAGTGGTGAGTGTAGTGGTGAGTGTACTGGTGGTGAGTGTAGTGGTGAGTGTACTGGTGGTGAGTGTACTAGTGGTGAGTGTAGTGGTGGTGAGTGTAGTGGTGAGTGTACTAGTGGTGATTGTAGTGGTGAGTGTACTGGTGGTGAGTGTAGTGGTGGTGAGTGTAGTGGTGAGTGTAGTGGTGAGTGTAGTGGTGGTGAGTGTAGTGGTGAGTGTAGTGGTGAGTGTACTGGTGGTGAGTGTAGTGGTGGTGAGTAGTGGTGGTGAGTGTAGTGGTGGTGAGTGTAGTGGTGAGTGTACTAGTGGTGAGTGTAGTGGTGAGTGTACTGGTGGTGAGTGTAGTGGTGAGTGTAGTGGTGAGTGTACTGGTGGTGAGTGTAGTGGTGAGTGTAGTGGTGAGTGTACTGGTGGTGAGTGTAGTGTTGGTGAGTGTACTGGTGGTGAGTGTAGTGGTACTGGTGGTGAGTGTAGTGGTGAGTGTAGTGGTGAGTGTAGTGGTGAGTGTAATGGTGAGTGTACTAGTGGTGAGTGTAGTGGTGAGTGTACTAGTGGTGAGTGTACTAGTGGTGAGTGTAGTGGTGAGTGTACTAGTGGTGAGCGTAGTGGTGAGTGTACTAGTGGTGAGTGTAGTGGTGAGTGTACTAGTGGTGAGTGTACTAGTGGTGAGTGTACTAGTGGTGAGTGTACTAGTGGTGAGTGTAGTGGTGAGTGTACTAGTGGTGAGTGTACTGGTGGTGAGTGTAGTGGTGAGTGTACTAGTGGTGAGTGTAGTGGTGAGTGTACTGGTGGTGAGTGTAGTGGTGAGTGTACTGGTGGTGAGTGTAGTGGTGGTGAGTGTAGTGGTGGTGAGTGTAGTGGTGAGTGTAGTGGTGGTGAGTGTAGTGGTGAGTGTACTAGTGGTGAGTGTAGTGGTGAGTGTAGTGGTGAGTGTACTGGTGGTGAGTGTAGTGGTGAGTGTAGTGGTGAGTGTACTGGTGGTGAGTGTAGTGGTGAGTGTAGTGGTGAGTGTACTGGTGGTGAGTGTAGTGGTGAGTGTACTGGTGGTGAGTGTAGTGGTGAGTGTAGTGGTGAGTGTACTAGTGGTGAGTGTACTAGTGGTGAGTGTAGTGGTGAGTGTACTAGTGGTGAGTGTAGTGGTGAGTGTAGTGGTGAGTGTAGTGGTGAGTGTACTAGTGGTGAGTGTACTAGTGGTGAGTGTAGTGGTGAGTGTACTAGTGGTGAGTGTAGTGGTGAGTGTAGTGGTGAGTGTAGTGGTGAGTGTACTAGTGGTGAGTGTACTAGTGGTGAGTGTAGTGGTGAGTGTACTAGTGGTGAGTGTACTGGTGGTGAGTGTAGTGGTGAGTGTACTAGTGGTGAGTGTAGTGGTGAGTGTACTGGTGGTGAGTGTAGTGGTGAGTGTACTGGTGGTGAGTGTACTAGTGGTGAGTGTAGTGGTGGTGAGTGTAGTGGTGAGTGTACTAGTGGTGATTGTAGTGGTGAGTGTACTGGTGGTGAGTGTAGTGGTGGTGAGTGTAGTGGTGAGTGTACTAGTGGTGATTGTAGTGGTGAGTGTACTAGTGGTGAGTGTACTAGTGGTGAGTGTAGTGGTGAGTGTACTAGTGGTGAGTGTAGTGGTGAGTGTAGTGGTGAGTGTAGTGGTGGTGAGTGTAGTGGTGAGTGTAGTGGTGAGTGTAGTGGTGAGTGTACTGGTGGTGAGTGTAGTGGTGGTGAGTAGTGGTGGTGAGTGTAGTGGTGGTGAGTGTAGTGGTGAGTGTACTAGTGGTGAGTGTAGTGGTGAGTGTACTGGTGGTGAGTGTAGTGGTGAGTGTAGTGGTGAGTGTACTGGTGGTGAGTGTAGTGGTGAGTGTAGTGGTGAGTGTACTGGTGGTGAGTGTAGTGGTGAGTGTACTGGTGGTGAGTGTAGTGGTGAGTGTAGTGGTGAGTGTAGTGGTGAGTGTAATGGTGAGTGTACTAGTGGTGAGTGTAGTGGTGAGTGTACTAGTGGTGAGTGTACTAGTGGTGAGTGTAGTGGTGAGTGTACTAGTGGTGAGCGTAGTGGTGAGTGTACTAGTGGTGAGTGTAGTGGTGAGTGTACTAGTGGTGAGTGTACTAGTGGTGAGTGTACTAGTGGTGAGTGTACTAGTGGTGAGTGTAGTGGTGAGTGTACTAGTGGTGAGTGTACTGGTGGTGAGTGTAGTGGTGAGTGTACTAGTGGTGAGTGTAGTGGTGAGTGTACTGGTGGTGAGTGTAGTGGTGAGTGTACTGGTGGTGAGTGTAGTGGTGGTGAGTGTAGTGGTGGTGAGTGTAGTGGTGAGTGTAGTGGTGGTGAGTGTAGTGGTGAGTGTACTAGTGGTGAGTGTAGTGGTGAGTGTACTGGTGGTGAGTGTAGTGGTGAGTGTAGTGGTGAGTGTACTGGTGGTGAGTGTAGTGGTGAGTGTAGTGGTGAGTGTACTGGTGGTGAGTGTAGTGGTGAGTGTACTGGTGGTGAGTGTAGTGGTGAGTGTAGTGGTGAGTGTAGTGGTGAGTGTAGTGGTGAGTGTAATGGTGAGTGTACTAGTGGTGAGTGTAGTGGTGAGTGTACTAGTGGTGAGCGTAGTGGTGAGTGTACTAGTGGTGAGTGTAGTGGTGAGTGTACTAGTGGTGAGTGTACTAGTGGTGAGTGTACTAGTGGTGAGTGTAGTGGTGAGTGTACTAGTGGTGAGTGTACTGGTGGTGAGTGTAGTGGTGAGTGTACTAGTGGTGAGTGTAGTGGTGAGTGTACTGGTGGTGAGTGTAGTGGTGAGTGTACTGGTGGTGAGTGTAGTGGTGGTGAGTGTAGTGGTGGTGAGTGTAGTGGTGAGTGTACTAGTGGTGATTGTAGTGGTGAGTGTACTGGTGGTGAGTGTAGTGGTGGTGAGTGTAGTGGTGAGTGTAGTGGTGAGTGTAGTGGTGAGTGTACTGGTGGTGAGTGTAGTG